TGCACCACCCGGGAGAATTTGGAAATGCAACGGTTGGAACAGCCGCTTCCCTACGACTTTAAATGCTAAATGTTCATTTATTTTTTATTTTGGTATAATTACAGTTCTAAGTGAGTTTCTCTATCAGCTAAAGGCACGTTTTAGTGTCTCTACACTCCAGTTAATGATTAATCAATTACTAAATTAGTTAAAAAAAATCAATCTGATTGATGGTTTAGCCCTTGTATGAGTACTTTTGCATGGCTCTTTATCTACCAAGTGTTTCCTGCACATCTGACAGAGGAAGCTGAGGCCACTGGCATGTCTGTTGAATGTTGAACTTTCACCTACTTCCACTACAAACTGACACATACCGCTCAGCTGCTGCTAACCTTTCACAGATATTTTTAATCTGCTAAAAACCTCCCACATATTAACTGGATGGAAAACAAAACATTCAGCCCAAACGCTGGAACATTGTTGTGATTTTACTTCTTATTTAGATGTTAGTTTTTCTGTTCTGGTCCTCTGATTGTTGTTGTTCTCATTCAGAGCTGGTGATGATGCTGGAGTGGTGGTCGGGCACAGAATGCACCCTTTACACTGACCAGGCTACGGTGGACAAGTTCGGCAAAGAGCACGTCATCATTATCCTCAACCACAACTTTGAAATTGACTTCCTCTGTGGCTGGACAATGTGTGAAAGATACGGCGTCCTAGGGGTCAGTTTGGCTCCAAAGTGTAAACAAAAGCATGGGGGGAAAAAAAATTCCCAGGTGCCTGTTTTTGCATCGCCCTGACTGTAAATGTTTCCTCCTCGTCTCTACAGAGTTCCAAAGTGCTGGCCAAACATGAGCTGCTGAAGGTTCCTTTGATCGGCTGGACCTGGTACTTCTTAGAAATAGTTTTTTGCAAAAGAAAGTGGGAGGAGGACCGAGAAACTGTCTTTGCAGGCCTGGACAGGCTCAAAGACTATCCTGAATATATGTGGGTGCGTACTGCATGGACGTTTCGAGAAGTAGCAAGTAATGTGTTGTAGGTATTATTCATATCCAGCCAAACAGCCAAATATTGTCCCAAAACTGAGACGGAAGCTCGCAGACATCCGTTTTACTTTTTCTGTTCACTAAAAACATAACAGTAAAACTACTAGTCATGTTTTTCACATGTAATACAGTTTTTAAATCAGACATCCTGATAATGAGGCAGATTAGCTTCGGTTTACTCTCTGTCTGCCAGCTTTAGTGATTTTCCTCTCTGGTGTTTGTGTATAAACGCAGCTTCTGTCTCCACACAGTTTCTGCTGTACTGTGAAGGCACCCGCTTCACGGAGAAGAAGCACCAAATCAGTATGCAGGTTGCAGAAAGTAAAGGCCTGCCCAAGCTCAAGTATCACCTTTTACCCCGAACCAAAGGATTCACCACCACGATGAAGTGTCTTAAAGGCACAGGTGCAGCCCATGGGAACACACTAACAGAAAAAAAAACTCAAGTTAAAGCACAGTGTTGTTTGTTTTGACTGAATTTGTCTCCGTGTTGCAGTCACTGCTGTGTACGATGTGACTCTAAACTTCAAGGACAACCAGACTCCCACCCTGCTGGGTATCGTCAATGGCAAGAAATACAAAGCTGACCTGCGTGTTAAGTAAGTTCAGCCTACGCCCTTTGTTCATTTTTCATTTTAATCAAGCATGAGATTATAATAAAGTTTTCCTCCCTCCTGCTTCCTTTTTATCAGTCGGACGATGCAGCTGGCTGGAATCCAGCATCTTAATAGTTTGCAAATAATGGCTCCAGTGGTAGTAAAAACCTGCTTAGGAGAATGATTGATGGGGTCTGTTCATGTTGTTAGCTACGTTGATGCTGGACCTGAATACATTATTGATTTTATTTCTATTTAAAATTGATTATTTTAACCTGTGAGCAATGTATCATAACATAGCAGGTAGTTTCTGGGATTGAAATGAATTAGCAAGGTGCCCCCTAGTGGTTTAAAGTCAAAACTACAGACTGCATGTTTCCAGTGTTACAATTCAATCTTGAAGCCTTAAAGTTTTCAGTTTTTGCCTACATCATTTTAAATACTGATAAGTCTTTAAAAAAAAAAGTCTTTATTAGTTTTTTTTATTTTTAAAAGATTATAAAATAGATTCCAAAGATAAGATCAAGTTTTGTAGCTTGTAAGACATGATTTTGAGTTGCCTTTCAGTTATTATTATTATTATTATTATGATTAATGTTATTATTGATCTTGTTGTGAACAGCAGTTGGATATAAAATACGAACGACTAAAGCCAGGCGTACACTGTGGGATTTTGGGGGCGATTTTCCAGTCGTGCGAGAATCTTTGTAGACTTTCAGCCTGATCGTGAGTGGTGTAGTGCACAGGGGATGACGAGGGCTGATCAGCCTCTCACGACCACCTCCCGATCAGGAATCATGAGGTCTGGAGAAAATCAAATGTGTTGGATGTTGGATACGACTAAACTCCTGCAGTTTGGACGTACAGTGTGAGCTGTAGCTGCGTGCAACGACTGAAAAAATCACAGTAGAAGCCCGGCTTAACTTAAAAGTTTAAATACCTAATGGTATCTGAATCAGTCTCAGTCATAGCCCAATTTCATATTCAATTCTTATCATGATGAAGTTAATAATGTGCTATTATTAACCCCTTACTCCTATCAGTCTTTATCAGGGTTTTAAAAGCATTACAATTAGTAATATAACTTAAATAAAAAGAAGAAAAAGTTTAAAAACTAGTTTAAGACCGGTGAGAGATGAGATTTCAGTATTTATATTGAACTATAACAGAGGTATAAAGTTGTGATTGCTACGTTTTATCTTTCCATTGCTGCTCTCATCTTATATTGCCCAACATAAAAAAAAAAAAAAGTTTTTGTGGGTCCCTCTCTGTAAGATTAACTTTCCAGCGAATACCAGGGCCTGTTGGGGCACAGCTCATGTGATGATTTGTTTTTGGATATAACTGAGGTCCATTTCTTGTTGATTTGTTCCATCCAGGCGTTATTCTGTGGAGGAAATACCAGACGATGAGCAAGAGTGTGGCGAATGGCTGCACAAGCTGTACCAGGAGAAGGTAAGCTTGTATCTTTTGGATCCTTCGTTTATTTTGTTTATGATCATGTTGACAAATCGTACCACATTAAATCCAACCCTCTGTTTGTCAGGACGCCTTACAGGAACAGTACAACAAAGAAGGAAAGTTCCCAGGACCTACAATCATCCCTCCGCGCCGCCCTTGGACGCTGCTTAACTTCTTGTTCTGGGCCACTCTCCTGTTGTCGCCCCTCATCAAATTTGCATGTGGCGTTGTCGTCAGCGGCTCCCCGCTCCTCATCATTGGTTTCATCACCTTCCTCATCATTGGTAGGTTTCTGGTCCAGATGGCAAATCGGATTCAGATTCTTTTATAATGAATAAAAGTCCAGGAGCACCCTATTCCACTTTTATATGATAATCTCACATTTTGATGCGTTTTATCAGTTTATCCAACATAGAAGCATTAAAACACAACAGTCCTGCTAAGCTGAACCATTAAGATCGTTAATCACAGACCAGCCAGGATGGCTGTGGTCACTAGAGAATCTGACTTCACTGGTTGATGGCAAGAAAACATTCCAAGGAAAGACTGAAAGCAGTGATACTTGGATAAGAGACCAAACAAGACTTGAGTTGGTAACACAAAAAAATGCAGACTGGGGTAATTCTGAACAGTCTAGATCAGAGGTAGATAAACGTCCGTCCTCGAGTCCCTCTGTCCTGCAGCTTTTTTATGCTTCTCTGCTCCAACACACCTGAAACCAATGAGTGCGAAATGTCCAGGCCTCTGCTAGAGTTGCTGAGTAACCAAGGAGTTTTTTTTTACTGCTTTGGTTTCAGGTGTTTTGAAGCAGGGGTGCAGCTTAGATTTGTTTTTGTTTTTGTCCCCAGCTTTTTTATTGTCATTACCCTGTCACAAGCACAGAGCAATGAAATGAACTCTGCATTTAACCCATTCCCCTTGGGGAGCAGTGGGCTGCCATTGTGTGGCGCCCGGGGAGCAGTGTGGGGTTAAGGGTCTTTGCTCAGAGACCCAGAGTGGAAGCTGTGGGAGTGGGGCTTGAACTCCGAAACTCAGACCTCCGAGCTCTATGCCCTAACCACTAGGCCGCCACTCCCCAAAAAGCTAAAAATCTATCAGTGGCCTAGTCAACGTCCAGACTTTAATTTAGAGATATGTGTCCTCAGATGATCTCCACATGGTTTGACTGAACTTGAATAAACATTAGTATAAAATCCAACCTTCTGAGTTAGCAAAGACACGCCCAATAAAGAATCACACCTGGGATTTTGAGTTTTTCATGTAAAAAAGTTACTGGTTTAACTTTACAAATTAAAGTACAATCTCTTCAAGGAATTGTAAATAAGTTTGACCTTTTTATGTGGTTGTCCAAATTTACCACTGCTCTAAAAAAGTTTAAAAAAACAAACCAATGGACTTTGTATTCCAAGTTTTGTTTCCCAACCAGGAAGCTTTTTCATTTCAAAATGTCTGGATTAGTATTGAGTTTCAAGCCCAACAAAGCCTCGTTATGGCTCAGAAAACGGGCAAATTGAACCGGAAGAACAGGTCCACCCCTTAGGAATGGGGAGTCATTGCAGTATACTATACTGGTTTATGCTTCTGAATAAGAGGGAGTCGTTTAGGGTCGTTGTTGGGCTGGCTGACCAGGCGAGTTGTTTCGGTTCCCTGCATAGCAGCAGATGATAGTTGGAAGGGAAACTTGGAAAACAAAGTGTAGTGGATTATTTTTTTACTTTTTTGGAATGACTATGACCTGGATGACTGAGAATCTTCACCAGCATTTACCACTGTTGTTTTTGTTCCCTCTTTTGTCCTTCCCAGCCTCTGTAGCTATCCGCCGTCTCATCGGGGTCACAGAGGTGAAGAAAACAGGCTCCAGTTACGGAAACCAGGAGGCCAAGAAACAAAACTAAACTGTGTAACCCCCCTCCCACGTTTGGGACAGCCGCTCCTCCCCCCCGCGGCGTCTCACTCCCTGCCCAGCTCCATTCTCCTCCTACCATCGGCTCAGTTGGTAGGCCGGGGAGGAGGCCACCTGTGAAAACATAGCGACACCAGAGTCAAATGAATCCTGCCGACACTAGTGTCCGAGAGAGAATAACAGAAGGTGCGGGAATATCGCTCTCTGGTGTATCACGGATTATAAGGAGGGGGGAGGGGGATGCAGTACTGAAAAATCACCAAACCATCATCTAAATCCCGTTAAATCCCAATTACTAACAAGAATGAGCCCCTGAAATGTCTCTGAGGTCACTTCCTAAACTACATAACCCACGTTTGCAGATGACGTTTGACTCCTTTCACCAGTTTTCTGTCTAACACCAGGCTGTATCCGCTCCCCTTTCTCTCTGAGAGATTCTTGTGATGGAAATCGGTGCCTTTAGGCCCAGCCTGGCTTTCCTTCAGGTCACATCACACAAATAACTCAAAGCCTGCTTCATGTTTCATTTTATACGCTCACCATCTCAGATTATACAACTAAACCACAAATCTAAGCAAGTGGTGATCCACTGATCAGGACTGTGCTCAATATCAGTTGCAGATTTAAGACCATTTATGAAAAAGTTCCTCTCTCTGCTCTGAGCCATTTTTACTAGAGGAGGTAATATGAGTGATCTCTGTAAAACAGTGTTTACTAATAAATGCAAAGAAAAGAGGCTCCATTTATTATTATTTCAAGTTTCTTCATCTAATTCCTAATAAAAGCAGATTAAAGGATGAATGGATAGAACCTCTTTTAATCCCCTTAGTCAAAGTTTCCACACTGAAGAGGAATATTAGAGGTTTTTGCAGTCTGGTTTGGAAAAAAGATTGGATCGGCTAATTTTCAGTCAGCAGTCTAAAACAAAACTGTTCTGAGAATCACTATTAATTTGTTTACACATATGAATCGCAGATTTATTTGCAAATTCCTCACCTGTTGGATCGGACAGGCTGGTGTCTGTTAAACTACAGCAAGGGCTCTGAAAACTGCTCCCATCAAGGATACCTGCGTCTGTTACTGGTCTCTTTAAAACACTCGCTTCATGCTTTTCTTTCTCCCATCGATTTATTTCTCCTCTAAGATTTAGGAGTTTACGTATTCTCATCAACCCGAGCAGACATTCTCCGACCTCCTAAATGTGATGCTTCAACATGCCAAGTCCTGCCCCCTCCCCTGACATGGAAGTGCAGCTCGCTGTGGAACATGACTGGCAGCTGGTTCGAGCGGAGAAGGTCACCAACTGTCTTTATGTAGCCACACAGCTGTTAGCCTAGCCTGCAGTAGGAGTATTTTTAACCTTTGCCTTAAACCAAGCTTGCTCAGGCAAGGGATTGCTTATTTACCTCCCGTTGAAACGCATAACGCCACTTTTGTGTTTGAAATATTCGCCCTTCATTCCTCTCATTACAGTAAAACATAAAGTAGGAGGAGCATATCGGTGAAACGACTGATTAACACGAACTCTTTAAAGTTGAGGAAGTTCTTGGAAGGTTTTGTTTTTGATTAAAATCACTTAAAAACTTTAAAATGGAAAAAAATAGTTTGTTTAGCAAAAAAAAAAAGAAGGAAAAATATTCTAATTTGATTAACTGATAAATAGAAAGTTGATTTTTTTTTTTTTTTTATTCAAATCCTAGTTGTTTTATACAGGAAAATCTTTTATTATCCTTTTAAAAAGATTTCTAGGAAGTTTTTGGTTTCATTAAAAATTAAAGATTGAATATGACATATATATATATTTTGATTTCTTGATTATAAAAAGCAGGAAGGTTTTCACAATGCGGGTCCACCTGGGTGACGCATGATTTTAGTTGCGTTTTGAAATGATGAATGACGTTTTCCGGGATTATCGCTCTGCAGCAGTGAAATGTCCATTTCTTCTCTCTGTAGTCGCCTCCAACAGGACAGATTTCGTGCAAGCCTTAATTGGTATCGAGGGCTAAAAATGCCTCAATTTGTTGAATTAAAAAGATCCTTAGCATTTATATATGTGACTCTTTCAATTGAAAATGTATGCAAATTAATAAATAAATTCATACATATTATATATCTAGAATTGGCATATTTCAGTCATTTATAAAAAAAAATAACTTAAGTTTAAATTTCTATGATTTAAAGTTCATTTTTTTGTATTATGTGCAATAATTGAATATCCAAAATATGTTTTTTTTTTTTTATTAATCCCATGAAATCAAATGTAATTTATAAATTATTGAAACATTCACATGTTTCTATTCTTTGTACAACTTTATCAAATTGATCACATCTATTAATGTTTAACAACTTTAAATTTATTGAATAAAGGCACTTTTGGACCTCAGTAAATTAGAACTGCTTAATAATTATTTTTAATGGAAATGTAGAGGGTAACCCATGTGGTAGAGATTCGATTGGAACACGAGATAATTTACTTGGTCAATTTGCAGATGCTGGGATTAATTAATCTTCTTTCTCCACTAAGAAGTATTTAGACATCTTTTTGAAATCGGAAACAGCACTGATATCAATTTATCCAAACAAATTCTTTCATTCTCACAAAAAAATCCAATTGAGAAGCAGACAAACTTTTTTCAGGAGCGTTTTTTTTATTAAGCTGTAAATAAACTATTTTTTTTTTTGCCCTTGAATTTTTTTAATTAAACTCACTAACAACACTTCACTTTGGAAACGTCCACTATCCCATTAGCTACACCTCTTACATCAGATGTTTTGTTTTGGAGTTTTTTTTTTTTTTCTACAGCTCTTATTTTTTATGTTCCATTGAAAACAAATTATTTGACAATATTAAAGGATTTATTCACAAATCAACTTCTACTCCTTGGATTTCTTTGGCTTTGTCTGAGTTTCTCTGCATGCATCCCTAAGCCTGCAGCTTCAGGCTGCCCATGTTCAGAGTCACGCTTGCATTTGTTCATCACATGCTTGTCATCAAACATTCACAAACGCCACAGCAGCGGGACTTAGGGTGTGCTACCGATGTGTATATAAGATCAACGCTGAACGTCCGACTCCCCCTTTAGCTTCTAGAGCTCTGCTTAGCTGCTTTTTAGACTTTTTAAATGACATAAATCAGCATTTCTCCCCATAATTGCTGGGTTTTATGTACATGATGTAAATAAGGATGAAGATCTGTAGAAATGTCCTAGATGCTCTTTGTTACTTTCTGCAGTGCTCGCTCTGATTGACTGCACTGCTCTTTCAGGCTACAACCAAATCTACCGGCGGAGCTGCAGGAGAACGTTTCATTCTCTTTTACTTGAAACACGTTAAATTATGCTCTCAAAGCAGTTTTCAGACCTTGCAGTTAATCGTTTCTTACTCCGCTCCCTTTTTTTTTTTTTATTGCATGAGTGCATAATTGCACAGTCGGTGAATCCAGTTGATTCTGACTCAGGGATTCTTTTACAGACTGATGATTCAAATGCTGTGGCATTACCTGAATAAAAATGCTTTCTGGGGAAGCTATCGGTGTGTTTCTTGCTTCTGATTCTCATGTTTTGCATATTTTGGTTTATTTTGAAGATAACTTTCATTGATCTCACTTTTTAAAAGTAGGATTTTTCAAACAAAAAGGATTAACTGATTATTAGGAAGCAGATTTTGGGGAAGCTGATCAGTGATGAGGCAACAAACGCGATACTGAAGGAGTTTATGTTGCAGCAGACTTCATAGAAAGATTGGCTTTGCAGGAGTTGCAAGGATGACATCACATTCAGCCAATCACAGCGCTCCTCTCTCTATAGGCATCAGTACAGCTGCAGACTGAACGGATGGATTTTAAAGCTATCCTATTTGAACTTTATTTTATCCCCCATGGGGGAAATTGCAACATAAACAGGATGAAAACAACAGAAGTAAAAAAAAATTAAAAAAACTCCAATAATAGTTCATGTAAACAAATATATCTAAAGGATGGGTTAAAAGACCTACTTCAAAATTGAACACCAAATTTATAGTTGTATACAGGGGTGAAACAATCTTGATTAATCGATTAATCGTCAACTAATTTAGTAAACTATTAATGGTAAAATATGCTTTAGCCGACAGATCAACCAACCCTTAAGCCGCAATTATACCAAAAGTGTAAAATATAAAAACATTTTACAATTAAGATAAAGATTTTTCATTATGTTCGATCCAGAACTCAAGTGCAAAAGTTTTAGTTTCACCTGCTTTAATTTCATAAGAATTCTCCTTCAAGAAACCTTTTGCTATTTGATTATTTATTGAATCAAAAACAAAATCAACAGATTAATAGATTTGCAAAATAATCATTAGTTGCAGCCCTAGTTGTAGTATTCGACCTAATAACTGTAAATCGAATTGCACGTTTTTAGGGTAACAAAATCTGAGATGGCAGGCCGACTTCTGAGCTGATTTTCTAACCTGTTCATTGTTTTCATTCAGGATTTATTTTGTGGTGAAAACAAGTCTCAGATGTAACACACCGTCTCTTTCAAAAGAATTAATATCCTTAAGCAATTTTACAATTTTTGACATCGCAGAGAATCAAGCTCAGTTCTCTCTAAACATTGTCTTGTCTCATATTCTCAACTGTTTTGCACTTTGGGCCACTCTAACATAAGAACATTAAGTTGTTCCTTTGTGTCTCTGGTTTAATGTTTAGTTTCTCTGTCATGCTGCCACTCCAGCCTCTTCTTATCTCCATCCATCCTCCTGCCCTGTCTGACCAACATTTACTAAAGAAAATCATCCACACAGCATGACACAGCCACTACCATGCTTCACGGTTAGAAAGATTATGTTAATTTTATACTGAGCATAACCATTTCGATTGGAACATCAATTTCAGTTTTAGTCTTAGTGAGAAAACAGCACCTATTGCTCAGATAGCTGCTTCTCTGAATAGGAAAGGATGGAAATAACTGTTTTTAACAATCTAGAATTTGAGTTTTTGCAGCCTCTTGAGGACCTAAAGCCTCCTGCTCTCTTCCGCTCCCACCGTGGTTAACGCTCTCCTTGTAGCTGTCAGAGTTTGGTTGAGGTTTTGAGGACCCAAATGCAGAAGTGAGGAGGCAGAGGTGAGTTCTTGCAGATTTAATGAAATATCTGAGGCAAAAAGCTATAACAAGGAACCAAAAACCAGACTACTT